TATTCTTATTTAACTGATTTCATTTAATATAAATACTTTTTCTTCTGTAAATCAATATTTTATAAACCTGGAGTGAAATATGATAATTCACTGGTTTCGAAGTGACATCACCCTTGTATTTGGTAATATCTAGTTTGAACGAGGAAAATCTTATTACAAATAAAAGAGGTTTCAGGTTCTATAAAATAGCAATTCTCCTTTATGACTCTGAATTAGGGACAATTTTCCCGCCAATGAAGAGAGACTTGAGGCAATAGAACAATGCTGAAAAGATCAGTGAAGTAAAATTTGAGCGATGAGGAATTTTTCGGGAAAACATTCACTTTCTCACAGACGTGCCGTGGCTTCAGTCTGTCTTTTCTACAAGTATTTTCACGGCAACTCTTGCGACGAGCTACTTTCGCTGGTTCCCATGAATTTAAGCGAGCCCTTAGGTTGGCATCTCAGTCCCACCCTTTCACTGTGGAAATGGTTAAACATAACCCTCTTTTCTACTCAAACAGTTTCTTCTCTCGCACTTCCTGTCTGTGGAACTCCCTTCCTCTTACATGCTTCAATGAAAAATATAATCTTCAAATATTCAAGTGTAATGTCAATCGATATTCTCTTTATCCTTTCTTCAAACACGCTTCTTTACTCTTGTTCTTAGCCCTCTGTCACCCCTTTTCGTGCTAGTGGCACTCCCGTTTTGATTGGGGTGAAATGCTTAAGAAAATAAAATTTAAATGTAGAACGAAAAGATCACTTGTTCTTAGGATCAGCAAAAAAAAGAGTACTGAGAAGGATAGGAAGTTGTGGAGAACCATGATCCAACCTATTATGATGTGACACGTCATATCGATTTTTGGTCAGTTGGTTGGTAACTTTTAATATAAGTTAAATATTTATGGTGTTACTTAATACTTTTTGGTTTCTTCTCTATTCAGTTACTTTTTCTTCTATATATCTTTTCCTTTCAGGACGTCTGTGATCATGGCTCTCCACAACTTACTATTTTTTTAACTCTCTTCAGATGACACAGTACTGATAGCAGACACGGAAAAGAAGTTACAAAATTTCCTACAGAAGGTAGTGACAGAAATTGTGACGGAAGGACTAAGCATAACCTAAAAGAAGACAGAATCCATGGTCATCAGTAAGAAGACGAGCCTGAAATGCGATTTGCAGGTCGGGAACAATAGAATCATGCAGGCGCTGAAGTTTAAATATCTGGGAAGCGTTTTGACAGAGGACGGTAAGTGCGACACTGAGATCCGTAGACGTATTTGGGATGGCCTAGGACACATTCCAAAAGCTGGGCAGAGTATTGCGAGACAGGAGGATTTCTTTGGTAACAAAGAAAAGAATACTGAAATGTTACGTGACATCTTTCCTTCTTTACGGCAGCGGATGTTGGACCATTTCCTCAAAGATGAAGAAGAGACTTAAGGCAACGGAGGTGTTTCTACAAAAGGATTCTAAGGATACCATGGACCGAGAATGTGAGCAACGATGAGGCCTTATAGAGGATGCAAATAAGGAGGAGGCTTATACTTAACACCAAGAAGATGCAGCTGAGGTTACTGGGACACATAATAAGGAAGGAAGGCTTGGAGAATCTAATAATCACGAGTCGAATAGCGGGAAAGATAGACAAGGTAAAGCAACACATGACAACCTAGCGGCCTTAAGCATGTGGATGACAGAACGTGGTCTGGGGGAGGTGGCAGAGGGAAGGAACTTGTTGAGAGCTGCAAGGGATATAGTGAGATGGAGAGCCATGATCGCCTACGTCCTGAAAGGACGGCACATAGAAAGTAAAAGAATGTTTGTCTCTTTGCCCGAACCTTCACTGTCATACGCCCAGGGTAGGCTCACATCCTAGCTCGTCCTTCCTTATGTCTTGTGAGGGGCAAATGCTCCAAGGTCTGTTTCTTCATAATGGTCCCAATAGATTTCAGACACCAAGTAAAAAAAAAAATAAAAATAATTTAAGAAATAGAATAATATATATATATATATATATATATATATATATATATATATATATATATATATATATGCATGTTTCATTAAAAACGACAGACAAGGTACTACGGTTGAGCTTTTTATTTAATTTTTCTTGTGTTCTCACAAGAGCTTTTTTTTCTGGACAAAGGGTGTGTAAGAACTGTCCGAATGTTCTGTGTTTCCGAGCGCTTTCGGCTATACCTTTAGCCATTATCAAGGATGATTCGATTATCAGCTTCGTAGAGTGTGTGTGTTCTGTGTATGATCAGTGTGTGGTAGTGATGTTTTAGTTTCCGAATACGGTTAGCACATTGTGGCTTTGTTCATAGTTAATATTGTTAAGAGTTGGCTTTTTCTTTTTTATTATTAGAGCTTCCATTATTTTTAGTCTTTTTTTGCAAGTGGATGCAGTTAATATATTTGTGTTTTCTACTAGTATGTTCCTAATAGTGTCGGGTAAATCTGAGTGTGTGTTTATATGTGTTCTGATGGAACTGTGATCAGATAGGTGTAATGTAAGACGTCTGGATAAACATGTGGTTGTGTAGCCGATGTAATTATTTATGAGTCCGGTTTGGTGAGGAACGGAAATACAAAATATATATATATATATATATATATATATATATATATATATATATATATATATATATATATATATTTAAAATCAATTAATGAAACAATTCGATTATGGATAATCCACAGATAGAAACTTGATTATCAAATATATGTAGAATGATAATTCCTGAAAACACGTTAAATTTTTTACTTATAAAATTAAAAGGTATTACGACATGCAACGACCCCCACACTTACAAAAATATATACCAGTTTTTAATATAACATGTTTTCCTTTCTATGTAATAAGCAACGTATCTATAAATAATTAACTTTATTTTTTACTATCGATTTAATTTCTTTTACCTCTGTTATATTTTAACAATTTCAGATCTTAAGATAATCATGCATTTTATCTTTAAATGATTTTGTCTTGTTGATTGCTTCTATTCAATTTACGTGAGACTGCGTGTGTATTCACCTCAGGTCTGAGCATGCGCAGACATAAATGCACGCGTTCACCTGCGTAAATGCATTCTGAACTCGATTTTAGAATGTGTGCCTTCAAAGGCATAATGTAACATTCCTTATCATGTCATGCCGTCCCGTGTCGTGTAATGCCATTCTAGATTTGGCCTTCTCTTTCTGTTGTATTTGAATCTTATTCTTCGACTTGCTTCAGCAGACGGGAGGACATATTGAATGCCGGTTGGACATGATTCCAGGAAAATAAAACAGGCGAATATTGACTTGCATTAAGGTTACAGCTGCCATAAAACATACGTGTACACTTCATGTATTCCAATCTACGATGAAAATCATTTTCAATTGAAAAATATCCGTAGTGCACGGTTTCATGCCTTCCATTATAAGCGCATATCTCAAAGGCATTTGATGAGGCGTGGCATATGATGTTGTTACGAAAATTCCCCAGATATGACATCTAGGGAAAGGTCTATTTATCAAATAGACCCATCCTATCAATTAAGGCCTGGAATTTCGTTGATAATGGTCAGTCGACTGAAGTCCATAAGGACAAGGAAAGCCCTCAATGCTTTCTACTTAGCCCTAACTATTTCTCCTTTATATCAATGATCTGACAAAAAACCTGCACAGATCAACGGTAAACATATGCAGGTCGGAGGGAGCAACTCCAAAAAATTAAGACGATCAGTGCCTGGTTGATCTCTCCTCTAATATAATTATTGCGAGTAAATAGGGTTTGGCTTGTAAACTTCAATACATCCGAAACTAACCCAATATCAACACAACATCATACCATGTGCTTTCTCAAGTCCTGATGAAGGATTCTAGTCTCAATCCTTGACTTTGATTTCTATTGAGACAAGTGAACCTGTTTATACAATCCATAACTAAAGATGGAAAATAGTGGGATATTTATACTGCCCTATATAGTAAATTAATCATTCTACCATGCTCAATTTTTATAACAGATTAAACCCAAAGTGGTGAATTGCTAACATAACTAGATTGAAACTGCCCAATCCTAACATCCCAGGCTTTATATAGTTCAAAGTTTTTATGTGGCTTTGTAGGCGATGAAATATTTTCCACCATACGAACTATTTTATACAGATAAAACGTTATATAACTATTTCTATGGAAAACGTTCAGACGAGCAATATTACTTAGGGCCACCAGTTCAGGACCTCTGCCCTAAGACTCACCATGGCACATTCTTTTCGTATATCGTTGGTAAGGATAAGTTCTACCTAGATAGGTTCTTACCCAGAAAGGTTACGTTGTGCAACAGGCTCCTGAAAAGATTGCTGCACAGATTACTACGATCTAGGATCAATCGTTATCTATTCTACGTACCCTCATAATACACATCTCTTGTTCCCTTCTTGTATTCATTCCAACAGAATCATTCAGTAACCTTCTATATATAACAAGGGCATTGGTATTTAAATATATGTAGCTGGGAAACGAATGTAATTCTCCTTGAATTGCCACTCTTCAATCTATAACAAATCTATGTAGCTGAGGAACGAGGGTTATTTCCCTTGAATCGTCACTCTTTCGTCTGTAACAGAGACATTACTAAATAATTATATATATGTAACGTGGGTTATTCCTCTTTAATTGTTATCTTAGTTAAAACACATTATATTTGCTATCAACCCTAGAAACATATGCATTTGATTACATATCAGTATCGACATTCAGTTCTGTGCCGTGCATGATACACACTTAGGTGAGAAAGATTTCTTTCCCGCAGTAGGTTGCCATTTCTTTCTGCGGTAGACCAGTTGGCATCCAAGGCTATAGAACCTGGTATGTTCCGTTACTTACCCATAGCTGGCGGGGAAGAAGAGAATTCATACCTTTTCCAATGGTAGTAGCACGTAAGAGAATGTAATTTAATCCGAGCCGCTATCCATTGCTCCACCATGCCTCTTCCTCTATCGACATTAGTTTCCTTATAAGACATGCAATTGCAGCATATTTTTAGGTAAGTGTATTTGCCTTATTTTAATCTTGCTACGTTTAATAAGCATATAGGATACAGTACAAGTCAATTTATGTCACGAAATAATGGCTGTGACCTGGTTGGTCGAAATTTTGTCGTGCTGTGGTGAAAGCCTTGGGTAGCCCTAAAGTCCTAACTTTCCGTGTCAGTTCTCTTCTGTCGGTAAGACAAAGCTGGAATGCAGAAAGATAGTCTAATTTACTTCCTCTGCTTCCTGTGCTGTCTCCTGTCCTCTAGCTGTTGGTATCGCCTTTCATGGTTCCTTATTGAAAGATGTCTGAGAATTACAGGTCGTTCTTGCAGTAGATCGAAGCGTCATACCGGGCAGTGTTCTGCGGTTATCTTGCAATATACTGCGCAGGTTTACATATCTGGAACGTGTTTAAACAAGATTATTAAAGACATAAAAAACGTGGCACTGAAATAAGGATGGATTCGAGTAGGTCTTGTAAAATCTAAACAAATAAGAAGCAGGCAAATTGCGTTAAAAAATGAAATTGTGAATTGTAAATGCTGGGAACAATGCTGAATTGTGAATACTAGAAAATCTTCTCAAAGATTAAAAAAAAGATTAGAAGCAACAGAAATGTGATTCTATAAATGTATACTGAGAATACAATAGATAAGCCATATCATCGGCGAGAGACATTTGGCCGAAAGGTCATTTGGCGGAAAGGTCATTTGGCCGACGGACATAGCCCTGAAAAAGTACAAATAAAAATAGTAACAAGCATGACTTTAAGTATTTTAACTAGCAGTATTATAGGTTAGAATAGGACTAATAATTATCACTGAATTTCAAGTCATTATATTACTAAATCTAAATTTAAAGTGAAAATTTTTCTTATTTCAATATCTGTTTATTGAAATTAGTATTTAAAAAATACTTGAGCGTATTTGGGTAAAAAGAAACATCTAATTATTTACATTCGTATTTAACAGTAAGATAAAAGCTAATTCATCTTTTAAGATAATGATCATTAAAAGCGAAATTGAAACATATTTCATATCGTAAAAGTTTAAGATGTTTGCTGCAATAAAATGTGCTTTTTGTCAAAATACTTGTCATCTTACAGTGATATTTGAAGTAAAATATAATATATAGAGAATAGATTAAAATAAAACTGTCGAAAAATAGTAAATAAATATAAATATATGTAGAATATTACGATAAAGAGTGTGACATTCATTTAAGTATACCACAACATTTTTGGCTAAATGTCCATTCCGTTAAATGTCCATCAACCGAATGTCAATGTAGCAAGTCACATTATTAATAAGGAAAATTATGTAAAATGGAAACCAATAGGACATTTCTTCTCGAAATCCGAAAAATGCAGGTAAAATTGTTGGACACGATGAGGACGGAGCGATTTCAAAATTTGCTATTTACATGGCATATCGAATGCAAAAGAAGTGGACAGCGGGCCATCTACATGATGAACTTGTGTGAATGTATGGGGTGAAGTGTGCTAGGGTGATGGTAAAAAGAAAAGGATTACTCAACGCTACAAATGACATGAAGGAGAAAGCTGAATGGTTCGAAATGTGACGGTAGTGAACCCTATGCAGATAAGATACTCCTTGAATTGAAAATCTGACACATGAACGATATTTCAAATAAAACTATACCAAAAATTAACTGTAGATTTATTCGAAAATAATTCCAAAGTCTTTTGTCTCATGTTTCAAGATCTACCTAAAAACCAGCAATAGAGAAATGTTGAATATGAGACCGATCCTACCCCAACCCAGAACGAGATATCAATTTTTTTTTTTTTTTTTTTAGTTTTCGAATAAGAAAAGAAAAAAAAAAGTTAAAGCTCTCACAGAAAAAAAAACAAAAAAAACTGTTATCAAATTACGTGGGATATTGCAAGTTGTTAGAGCTTGTGACGCGTGTTCTCATGTAATATATATATATATATATATATATATATATATATATATATATATATATATATTTTTTTTAAAATATGATTCCTTCGCTACATAAGAGTTCTCACGTTTCAAAAACGAAAACCGAAACCAACAATATAATTATAACAATAAAACAAAATCCCCTCGACACTTAACGACCTACCATTAAATGTAACTACTTTACATTTAACGATTCAAGAAAAACAACGAAATTCCATGTGTGGATCAATATATATATATATATATATATATATATATATATATATATATTGTAATATAACTTACAAAACAATCATGCAATGAAGTGTAATGATTAAGGGGAAAAAGTTGTTCCCCTTCAACTGTATCTTGATTTAGGATTGAATGTTCGAATGTTCTTGAATAAGAATGTTCAAGATTCTATGTTGAATAGAGTTTGCTGTTAGAATAGAATACAGTTAATTAAGAAATGTGTTGTTTTATGAAATTAATAGAGTGCTGGTTTATGAACTTGGCTGAGTCATAGAGAGAGATATATTATGTGTTACAAAAATCCGTGTCTGTGTGTGCGTTTGAAATGTTGTGATTAAAGTCGTAGATGTGTGTGGACAAGCGTAAATAGCTGGATTCTACTAACAACTTGCGAGAAAGTCGGTAAGAATAGTTGCCAATATTCTTTAATGTCTGACCGCACAGTTAAGACGGTAGCTTTTGGAAATTAAATCTTGGGAGCAAAGAAAAAGATCAATGAAGAAAACACCAGAGATGTTTATGCGTGTTTTGTTTATGTAAGATTGTGTCTCACGTAACAGGCTCCAGCTTTGTGCGCGGGAAAATTATTCCTCGCGTGCAGGCGATTTGATTGGTCGGAATTGACCAATTAGTAAGCTAGTTTTGAGGAGATTAGGCAATGAATGCTTGCCGTATGATCTGTATGTATGTGTGTGTGTGTGATGGCGATGATGTTCGCTACAATATTTTCTGCTTTTGTAGAGCAGCGACAATCAGATTGTTGCGTATTAGCAACTCGAACATCAGCTTCGGACACCGGTATTAAATACATTATTGTTCCAATTAAAAAAATATCCTCCCTTTTAATTCGACTTATTTTCATTCTTGGCTGAAGCTGAAAACATTCTGCCAAGTATGCCTTTCAAGTACAGTGGATCTGCTTTAAAAATCAGAATCTAAATCCCTGACATTCCTCCTTGCTAAAACACAGACCACAGACAGGAGACCTTACCTTAACCATCATGTCAAGATCTTTTAAATAAAACTGTAAATATCGTTTAATTTTACCGTCTTCGTTCAATGAATCATTTTTCAGTATTTCATCGATTTTAATCTTTTTACCCTCATTTAGTTGACAACCCATTTTCTTTAGGCGTGGGGAAAAAGAAAAGCTAGGTTGGTTACACTTAAAATTCATCTTATACAACACAAGATTAAAGAAGTATTAAGCCCTAGACCGAGGGGGCCTTTCCCCCAAGTAATAGTTTTCCTTCGGGATGGTGTTGATGGGCAATGTTTGCATGGTGCCGCTGTTAAACCCACTTTAAACGTCGACCTTGTGTCACATTCGGTAGCAAACTGGGTGCGCCGAATAATACCCTTAATAATTACATATCCTCAATAATTATATATAATCATATACCCTAAATGATTATATATCCTCAATAATTATATATAATTATATACCCTTAATAATTATATACCCTCAGTAATTATATATAATTATATACCCTAAATAATTATATATCCTCAATAATTATATATAATTATACACCCTTAATAATTATATATCCTCAATAATTATATTAAATATATACCCTAAATAATTATATATAATTATATACCCTTAATAATTATATATCCTCAATAATTATATATAATTATATACCCTTAATAATTATATACCCTCAATAATTATATATAATTATATACCCTAAATAATTATATATCCTCAATAATTATATATAATTATATACCCTTGATAATTATATATCTTCAATAATTATATATAATTATATATAATTATATACCCTTAATCATTATATATCATAGGCATATTGTAATTCCTTATTTGAGATCAAGTATTTTTTGATCATTTTAATTTTCGTAATAGCTTAACTATTGCAATTAGATTAAAACAGTACAAGACGAAACAGGTTAAACTTATATGACGACACTGTTGCACCTGTCTTTCAAGTGAGTAGTGTTTTAATTGCTTTGATGAACAGCTTTTTCAATACTGGCACTTTATTGCAGAGTATCTAAAATTACAGCAAATGACGAACTGCTTTTATTTAATTCTTTGTATTTTCTTTCTTTTTTTTTTGTTTTCTTATTAATTATTTTCACTTTCGTTTCCCTTCTTTTTACATGTATTTATATATTTAGTTATTAATTTAGTGTCTAATTGTTTGTACAGTGTCCCTTCGAATTTTCTTACATTTATTTTTTCTTTATTGCAATCTTTCATTGACTCTTTTATTTATTTCTATTGTTTTCTTTACTACCTTTTTCTACTTTCTTTCTCTGTAATTATATTCTATCTATCTATCTATCTATCTATCTATCTTAATCTATTCATATCTGTCTATTTTAGTCTATTCATATGTATCTATGTTTGTATCTTGGTCTATTCATATCTATCTATCTATTCATATCTGTCTATTTTAGTCTATTCATATGTATCTATGTTTGTATCTTGGTCTATTCATATCTATCTATCTATCTTAGTCTATTCATATCTGTCTATTTTAGTCTATTCATATCTATCTATGTTTGTATCTTGGTCTATTCATATCTATCTATCTATCTATCTATCTATCTATCTTAGTCTATTCATATTTGTCTATTTTAGTCTATTCATATCTATCTAGGTTAGTATCTTGGTCTATTATTCATATCTATCTATCTATCTATCTTAGTCTATTCATATCTGTCTATTTTAATCTATTCATATCTATCTATGTTTGTATCTTGGTCTATTCATATCTATCTATCTATCTATCTATCTATCTATCTATCTATCTATCTTAGTCTATTCATATCTGTCTATTTTAGTCTATTCATATCTATCTATTTTAGTCTATTCATATCTATCTATCTATCTATCTATCTTTTCTATCTATCTATCTTAGTCTATTCATATCTATCTATTTTGTCTATTTTCTATCTATTTTAGTCTATTCATATCTATCTATATCTTGGTCTATTCATATCTATCTATCTATCTATCTATCTATCTCTCTATCTATCTATCTATCTTAGTCTATTCATATCTGTCTATTTTAGTCTATTCATATCTATCTATGTTTGTATCTTGGTCTATTCATATCTATCTATCTATCTATCTATCTATCTATCTATCTATCTATCTATCTATCTGTCTGTCTTTGTATCTATTTTTTCTCTCTGTTACTTTTATTTAATTTCTGTTATTCGTTCTTTTCTGTTTACCTTTTTTGTACTTCATTCTGTTTTTTGTTTTTTCAACCTATCCATTTTATTTGATTTATTCTTTCTTTTCTGTCTGTTTTCTATATTTTTCTTTTTTTTTTACGTTTCCTTGACTTTATTCTAATTTTTTTTCCTTCCACATTTATTTATTAATTATTCATTTTCTCTTTGCATTTATTTTTTATTTCTTTTCTACTCTTCCATGTTCTTTTTTCTTACTCTCTTTCGGCTTGGAATAAAGCAGTTCTCTATTCTTTTATTTCTTTCCTATCTCATCATTTTTTTAACACTTCTCCCTCTAAACTATCACTCCTTTTTTTCTTCTTCTTTTGGTATACCCTTCATATATACATTATTTCTTCTCTTTCATCTCTTCCTTTCACTTTCTGTACATTTTCTTCTATTGTTGGCTTTCCTGTCTCTCTTCTTTCTTTCTACCACTCTGTAATTATATTCCTTATTTCCTATCTATCTATCTATCTATCTATCTATCTATCTCTCTATCTATTTTAGTCTATTCATATCTATCAATCTATCTATTTTAGTGTTTTCACATCTATCTTAGTCTATTCATATCTATATATTTAAGTGTCTATCTATCTATCTATCTATCTATCTATCTATCTATCTATCTATCTATCTATCTTAGTCTATTCATATCTATTTATCTATCTATTTTAGTGTTTTCACATCTATCTTAGTCTATTCATATCTATATATTTAAGTGTCTATGTATCTATCTATCTATCTATATATATATATATATATATCTTAGTCTATTCATATCTATCTATTTAAGTATCGATCTATATATATATACATATATACAAATATACGCATACATATATATATACATATATATATATACATCTTAGTCTTTATATCTATTTATCGTAATCTATTCTTATCTATCTTTATATCTATGTTAGTCTATTCATATCTATCTATCTATCTATCTATATAATATATATATATATATATATATATATATATATATATATCATAGTTTATTCATATCTATCTATTTAAGTATCTATCCATATATATACATATATTTAAATATCCGCATATATATATATATATATATATATATATATATATATATATATATATCTTAGTCTTCCTATCTATCTATCGTAATCCATTCATATCTATCTTTCTATCTATGTTAGTCTATTCATATCTATCTATCTGTCGATATCCTTCATTTTTATATTCTGTTTCTCTTTTCCTTTTCTTCCTTTTTCGTTGTTTTTCCTTTTATATCTTCCTTTTATTCTCCTTTTAATTTTTTTTCTTTTAATTTTTTCATTTGTTTTTGTTTTTCAATCGATTATTTTTTATATTTGTATTTCCTATTTTCTCATTTAATTTTCTCTCTCATCTTTCTCTCCATACCACTTTATGCAAATCGACATTCAGGTGTTGGTGGAATCTCGGAGTATTCGATGAATGGAGCCAAATTAAAGACCCTTTTAATTTATAAGCTGGGATTTGTTAATTGACTGCTTCTTTCAATGTGCACGTTGTGTAAACTAATAACACAAAGAAATAATAGAATAACGGCAACAACTTTAAAGGAATTAATGGTTTTCATTCCTTCACGCTTTATTTTCTGAGATTTTCTATCTAGAGTTCTGTTTTGCAGATGCTGAATGGAACTGGATGCTGGATTCTTGCCGTTTTTTTTTTTTTTCAATGATGTTTCTTTTCTCTTCGTTTTTTTTTAAAGTTGTATTTTATATATTTAAAATTCTTTTTGATCCTACTGCACTCACATGACCTTTTTGAGAAAACATTAAAAACTGATAAAGACAAAAGGAGCACAAAGAAACTATAAAGCCTAAAACAAAAGTTTATTTAATTCAATCGAATAATACACTGCTTCAATTTCTTCCTGTTCTTGTTCCTGATATTGTTCTTCATTGAGTTGTTGTTGTTGTTGTTGTTGTTGTTCTTCTTCTTCTTCTTCTTCTTCTTCTTCTTCTTCTTACTCCTCCTCTTTTTTGTCTGCAATATGTTTTCTTGAATCTTCTCATTCAATTTCTTTCTTTTCTTCTTTCATTTTCTTCTTTTTTCTCCTCCTCCGCCTCATCTTCTTCTTCCTCTTCTTCTTCTTCTTCTTCTTCTTCTTCTTCTTCTTCTTCTTCTTTGTTTTCAATAGGTTTTCTTGAATCTTCTCATTCAGTTTCTTCCTTTACTTGTTCCTGATGCTGTTTTTGATAAAGTTGTTGTTGTTTTCCTTTTTTCTTCTTCTCCACCTCCTCCTCCTCCTCCTCCTCCTCCTCCTCTTCTTCTTCTTCTATACACCCTTTCACTTCAGGTAGTGTGAGATCGTGGTTCTCCACAACTCTCTGTAATTTATAACTCTAAACAATCTTTATACCCTTGCTATGACTGCCAGTCCCCATCAATTTGCAAGGGCCCAGTAGGCATCTTTCTCTATTTTCCTCTATTCCTCCTACCTTAAATTTGTTCAGTGAATGTCAAATTCCCCAAGCCGTCTTACATCACTATGCGACCCTGAAACTTCAGCGGTCTCTAAGTACAAGTGTCATTTTGAACGTAAATTTGAAGATATTTTCAGTTCCTCACACATAGCTTTTTTTTTTTTTTTTTTTGTTACAAAGATTGTATTGTGATGAACGACCAGGAGAAAGCGGTAAAATGTCTTTACAAATCGTCATTACTAGCACTAGATTTTAATAGATGTCAAAAACCGCTCACTGGCAATGTCTAAACAGACAATAAAGATTGAAAATTTGTTTAATATCACTTCCCAGAAAAGAAGGATGTGTCTCTTTGAAAATGTTAATGGTAGTATTTCTACATATATAGAAACATTATCATTATTTATTGGCTAAGCAGCAAGTGCTACTTTCGGTTGAAATTTATGAAATCTTTAAAAAACATTTCGCGTGTTGATATGGTTTTCGTTCCTTTCGATTAAAGTGGTTGGAAACGTCGACATCTTGATTATGCCATTATTTTCTCTTCGTTTGCTATTATTGAGGTTGATGATGTTAAAAAATTTCAAGTGATTCTTTTATTTGGTATAGTGCTTTGTTAGTGATTCTATAGCAGCAGGCCACGGCGTTAGAAAAAGGGACCTTCTCTTTAAATCCCACAGGGTTCATTCGCTTTAAGCCAATTTAATCACTGATCCGTGAAAGCGGGTGTATCGACATTATAATTTAGACAATTTAAACAGGTTGGACAACTTGCATAATATACATATGCGAGTCTCAACTTGACGAGGTTATTTATAAACATGATTCGTGTGCTTATGTTAATGCTTTGATTTTATAAACTTCTTGTTCTGTTGGAAAAATTTACCCCTACGAGTTAATTTCTTTGTTTCTTATGTTACATTTTTATAACTTTGAAGTTTTTAATGACTGACCACTCGTATCTGAGGAAACCTGTCTACTAGAGCGTCTAATTAATCGCGTTTGCAGATGCCTGCTCGGGCATATTTTTTTTTGTTCAACACACACAGATCCAACCTGAGCAGACCTTAGTTAGACTTTCTAAGAGAGATATATAGCGTGAACACCATTTTAAAAAATGGACAACACGCTCACACCCTCGGTCAGGATGACTTGTAATTTCAAGCTAGCACGAACATCGACTGCTGCCCAAAGAGTTCCATATACCCAATTTCACTCACATTGGTTTTCAGGTAATTTTCTTGGTTTGATTCGAACTCGGGTCTCCTGGTCAGAAAGCAAATTTTTAACCATGCGTCCACGTTCCCAAAGTGGTTAGCTTTTATGAAATCTTCATACTGATTTTGCATGATGGATACAGGGTATACGTCATTGCCTTAGAATGCATTGATTTTTGTAACAGACAGGGACATTGCTGGCTGGCACTGATAAAAAAATAAATAAAACACTGCTTTTTGTGAGCATAATTACATTGATATATTAGATGCATTGGTAGTTTGAAGGAAATAGGTGTGGCAAATGAAATCATCATGCCAAGTTCAAATCTGTGTTGGCTTTCTCAGAAATGCTCTCGGGAAAGACATGAAATTGTCCCATCTCCACAGAACTGGGTGTTAAATAACAGGATATATTGAGCCGTCTAGCTTTTGGTGGCAACCATTCTAAGAGAAGCAGAAATCTGAATTATGTGGAGAATTCTTGATCAAGAATTCATTTCTTTTAGCAGATAATAAATAAAAAACTTTTGGAAAGTTAGTAAAGCCTACGTCCTGAAGGCTTTAAATATATTCTGATAAGCGTAACTTTATACGACAAAACTTAAAATAGAGGAAATGTTTTTTTAAAAATATTTTGTTGGGATCCAGTTAAAAACATTAAAATTGTTCCAAATATAACTCTTCCTCTTCTGTTTATCTCCCTCCTTTCAATAAATGGCTCTGCCCTTAACTGTTCTCTCCTTTTGTCCGATCCTCGGTCTGCTATCCATCGTCGGGTAGATGGCTCGCTGCATTCACTATCCCTCTTACCTTTAATTTACTTTAGTATGCCTTTTGAGTGTTAAGTTAACCGAGTCATCCTTCCTCATTATGCCCAATGAATTTCAGCTGTCACGTCCTAGTTCTGAGGTATGACTATTCTTTTCGTTGCCATTTTCGTTAAGACATCTTCGTTGCTTCTCGCTCAATCAATGACATTCTCAGTATCCTTCTGCAGAGTCACATTTCTGTCCCCTTCAGTTTTTATTCAGTCGTGGCCAGATTTCTCATCATTTACTGCCATATAAAAGAATAGATGTTACATCGCAAACCAGCAAGCTTTTCTTAATAACATAATCAGAATAACAGCTACTATATCAAAGACATTGAGGATTTTTCAAGGTGTGGTTATTACTACTTGAATTTAATAACACTGTATTTTAGAAGGATCCTGATTAATTATCACTTGCAACAATTCGAAATGATTAGACACTAGAGGAGAATATATAAAAGTTCTTTTATATCATTTACCAAAGGAAAAGTATATATAGCGTGGGTCAAAATTTACTGACCCTTTTAAATCTTTAATAACTTTTATAATTCTTAAGTTATACTTCCAAAATTTCAGCAGTGGGTCAAATGATATTTCCGAGGTTTTCGGCAATTTTGGCAATTACAATATACTATACAACAAAATGTCTTAATTCTTAAAAATAATGTTTTTGTTTTTTTTAAGTGTCCACCATATTGGTTTCGCACTGAATGTCCTTATCCAACATATTTTGCATTACATTTGAAAAAATTCTAGGTTTACGGCTCTTATTTCACCCGCAATTTTGCGTTTTAAATCATTTACTGTGTGAGGTTTATTCAAAAACACCTTTTCTTTAAGGTAGTCCCACAGGAAGAAATCAGGACTTGTCATGTCAGGTGATCGAGCTGACAAGTTTATTTCGCAACCCATTGAGATGATTCGATCTTGAAACGTTTTTAGGAGCATTTGAATAGTCTCTCTTGCAGTATGAGAAGTGGCTACATCTTGTTGGAACCACATTTGCTCTTGTTGGGCCTGTATCCATGGTTCAAAATCTTTGAATCATGGAGCGATATCGAGCTCCCGTCACGGTTGTCTGATTTCCATTCTCATCCCCGCAAAAATATCGGCCAATAATTTCATTTGGTGTCACTCCACACCATACAGTACATTTAATAGGGTGCATCTGGTGCGGCTGAATCAGCTGGGGATTCTCAAAACCCCAAATTCTGCAATTTTGTTTATTGACAAAACCATTAAGATGAAAGTGGGTTTCGTTTGACATGATAAACTTTTGAAGGAAACCAGGATCACCGTTCATTAAATCCTGCAGTCTCATTGCATATTCCAATCTTTGTTCCTAATCCTGAGGTTGAAGCTGCTGTACAAGTTGTATTTTGTAGGGAAACATGTCCATTTCGTGCAAAATTCTTTGTAAGGAGGAACGCGAAACTCCCATTTGTTCCGATCTTCTCCTGGTTGAAAGAGATGGATTTTCTTCCAGGCTTCGCTCCAATTCTCGTTGATTCTCAACAGTTCTTGCGAATCGTGTTTTTGTTCTGGGCTTCTCTGGTATTGCAATAACGACGGTAAGAAAGCTGCGTTTCCGAAATCGGCCCATGGGACTCAAAGCACCACTGTACAATGTGGGTTCGTTTCTCGATGCTATATCTGCTCATGGTGACGTCGGAAGGACACTTCTAAATGATCTGAAAATTAAAAGAAAAATATTCAAAAATAAAATAGTTGTGAATTTTGTTCATGGGTCAGCAACTTTTGGGCCACCCTCTATTTACTTTTAAAATCTACCTTCAAAACTAAGACATTTTCCCGGATAGGAGCATTTTCACTCACGAATAATAAAAATTAATCCTCGAAACAGTTGTAACAACAATTAAATGGTTTGCACACATGATAATTTATTTGATTATATATGTATCAGATGATAGTGTTGCGTCAGAAACTCTGAGGAAAGTTACATATTTTTAATGATTGGGATCCCGAGATGTTTGAAAATATTTTAGAAAGCTTTATAAAGAGAAAAATATAAAGACAAATATAAAGTATAAAATAAAAAATATAAAAATGCATGTAATTTATAGAAGCATACAAAGTATTTCAACATAAACAAAACTATATCGGAATTCCAAACCTGGTAGCATTATGACAACTCACTTTGAACAGCGTTTTGCGTTACCAACAAACTGAAATCACTTTCATGCTCTTACGGTTATTCCTCATACACATCAGCAGCATGGCTGCCCCTGTAGTGCCTGTCACCAGTGATTGCCATTCATTCCATTGATCCATCTCCTTATCATACTTATGTCATATTTTCATGCAACACACTAGTTCTCCCTTACTGATCAGTTCACGGCTTAAAAATTACGGGGAATTAAATTATAGATCGGAAATCATGTTTACATCATCATCTACTTACAAGTTTCTTTCTTTCTCTAGATACGCGCACACAAGCATACAGACACACAGGCACACGCACACACACACACACACACACATATATATATATATATATATATATATATATATATATATATATATATATATATATTCGTGTGTGTGATAGAATTTTTGAGAAATTAGAATAATCATTATAGTAATTGATCGAGTCTAGAAGATGACTAGAAGAATCCATAAAAGAATGCAGAAAGAACTTGACGTCCGTTTCGTCTTATTTGGGACTCCTCAGCAGT